ACTATACAGATTTCTCAGTAGCATGATAATTGCACCCGAAGGAGTAATACTATTAAGAAATGTGATGGGAAAATTTTCCTTTTCAGCATCATCCGTTTTGAATCGATGGAATCATCACTCATATAGGTGTGAAAATCTCCATCAAGTATATCCAAAATTTCTTCATTTAATTTATGAACATGCTCATTTTTAGGACAAAGAATCGCATGTTTAGATATATTTTTAATATTATCTATAGATATACTAGTTCCAAAGTAGCTTCAATAATAGATCCGTTACAAATCGTTTCACGGGGGATTTCAATAATATCCATTCCAAGAGCTTTATATATATATTGCACATGCACGAGTCAACGTTTATTTTTAAATTGCCAGTGCGCATCATGTGTACAGGCTGGTCGAATGGACCTACGGTTGGTCACTTAGCATTTTATATATATACACACACTAGAGGCCTGGTGCACGAAATTTGTGCACTCAGGTGGCGTGGTCCCTCAGCCTGGCCTGCGCCCTCTTGCAGTCCGGGAGCCCTCGGGGTATGTCTGACAGTCGGACATCCTTAGCGCTGCCTTGGAGGCTTCTGGCTGAGCGGCACTCCACCTGTGGGAGCACAGTGCATTGAGCATCTGCCCCCTGGTGGTCAGTGCACATCATAGGGACCAGTCCTTCCACCATTTGGTCGATTTGCATATTAGCCTCATATAGGATAGATTTTCATTTTTAAAAAATGTATAATGAGAGTAGAGATGCCAGTGGCATTACCAGATTCTAATAATTATTTCCCAGGTTTAAGTCATATGCAACCTGGTAAAGTAAGCCACTGCTTTGAGACTGTTATTTTTCTCCACTTATAAGAGTAAAGGGAGTAGGGATGTTTGGCCCAGAAAAGAGATAAAAAAGGAGGAACATGGGCATTGTCTTCAAAGAGCTGAAGTGTTGTCATGTTGAAAAAAGATTTGGCTCCTTTTGTTTATTTCCCAGAGGATTGAACCAATGTGTAGAATTTGTGGGGAGACAAATTTGAGTTTAAGGAAGAACTATACTATCAGTCAGGTCTGCCCAAGGAGGGATTGTGGTGGCCCATCTTGAAGTTTTTAAATATGAGTTAGATAAAAATCTCAGATACCAAATGGAGAATCAGATTAGGTGGGTGGTAAGGACCCATCCCACTCTGAGTTATTTACCAGGAAATAAGGGTGAGGGGAAGAAACCAGACTGCCAATATAGGGTGGGAACGAGAGCGACCGCTAATAGAGGACAAGGAGGGGGAAATTGAGGGTCTAGTACATCTCTCATCCATTAGTCATTCATAGCTGACGTTGTCTCTGCCAGGAATGTTTAAGAAAATGCTGGCTCCTGTTTCACAAGAGGTCATTCTGCAGAATGGAGGAATGTTTGGCATGTTCACAGAGATTGCATAATTCTGTTTCTATAACAGGCTTCTGGCCAAAACCGGTTTGACTCGGTGGATAGAGCGTGGGCCTGCGGACTGAAGGGTCCCAGGTTCGATTCCGGTAGGGGGCATGTGCCTGGGTTGCGGGCACCTCCCCAGTGGTGGGGATGTGCAGGAGGCAGCTGATCGATGTTTCTCTCTCATCGATGTTTCTAGCTCTCTGTCCCTCTCCCTTCCGCTCTGTGGAAAGTCAATAAAATATATATAAACAAAAAACAGGCTTCTGGGAGGAGAGGTGGAGTGATGCAACATCGAAGTGTCCAGGCTGTGGTCTCTAGGTGGGAGCAACAGTTTCTGTCAGTTGATTTAGTTTTCTTTCTAGTAAATTTAAAATAAAAAAAAATCTCTCATTGTTACACTAAACTGAACTTCAGTACTAAACTGGGATTCAGGCTGAGACTACTCTCTTGTTCTGAATGTTTGGATTTATTTTCTCAGCTTTCTTTTCCATCTTTATTAAAGAAAAATGTTGCAAGAACATTTTCAGTACTGGAATTTGATTTAGGAAGAAAGCTGAAATTGACATGTCCTTTTCAACCAGGAGCCCTGCTTTCTGGAGAGGGGTATGGTGTAGTGCGTATGAATGTTTGATTTCAGGCCTGAATTTGAGTCTCAGTTCTACCATCCACCAGCTGTATCACCTTAGACAACTGACCTAACTCAGGGCCGCAATTTCTTCCTCAGTAAAGAGATATATTTCTCATGTGTCATTGTGAGTGTAAATGAGGTAATATACATAAAAAGTTTTCAGGACACGGTGGAGCTCAGTAAATGGCTGCTACTTATTTTCATGCTACCAGTAGACGTATTATGTTGGCTATTAGGGATCAATTTGAAATGGACCTTGAATCGACGTGCCAGTGGCGCAGAATGTGTGCTTCCTTGTTACGTGTGGTTCTGTGAAGAGCACAAAACAGTTCTTCAAAAGGAAAGACCCCAGCAAAGAAAAGCAGAAGAGTTTTGTTTAAAAGGAGTAATGCACACTCCTCTATAGCTTTAGTCCCTTCCCCCTCCTTTCTGAGAGTTTCAGGTAGAGGTATATAGATTGGGAGTTGGAAGTCTTCTGCATCAAGAAATCATAAAGTAGTTGAGGTCATCGTGGGAATGAGAAAACAGGATTGAAGATAGAAACTTAAGTGCACAGATACGGAACTTAAGGAAGGGAGGTCAGGAAGGAGATGAAGGAGGAGTTGAGTGTAATGCAGAGTACACTGAATCTGAAGTTGGGACATCTGGGTTCTTCTAGTCTCGCTTTCTCCATTCAGGTTTTGTGTGCCTCTAGGCAGATCCCTTTCCTGCTTTATAGACCAGACCTGATCTCTAAGGCTCCCTAAATAGCTGAGTTTTTCCATTTTGAACCTACTTGAAAATAAGAACAGGTGGATCGAGGTAGTGTGATGTCCCTGAAACAGGAACTTCAAGAAAGAACAATGTCAGATGTCACAGAAATAAAGGACAATGCGGACTGGGAAAAAGGGTGGCCAGGAGGCCAATTGGTCTAGATTAGAGAGACAGAAATATTTGCAGTGTAAGATTTACTGTGGAGTAGCATGTAATGAGAATTATTCCAGATCCTCTTGTTGACTTTGTAGATAACTTAGGGTTGTTAAAACTACTTCATACATTAGGGAAAATGTAATCAAGTGCTTTCATCAGTGATCTATAAATTAGACTATTTGGGGATTTCTTCATGGTCAAAGGGAATTTTGAGGTAATCCATTGCTGGGTGAGAGAGCTAAATCTTCTTGTTTCTTTGTAGAATTTTAATTGCAGTTCTCACTTGAAATATTTTGTTTGTTTTCCATAGACTGATCATTCCATTATGGATGGAGGAGATGATGGTAACCTTGTTATCAAAAAGAGGTTTGTGACTGAGGCAGAACTAGATGAACGGCGCAAGAGGAGGCAAGAAGAATGGGAGAAAGTTCGAAAACCTGAAGATCCAGAAGGTATATGGGCTTACAGTTGGCCATTCAACATAACGGTCTTAATCCTCACAACAAGCCTGCAGAGGAGGTACCCATGTCCTCACTTCAGAGGAGAGGAACTGAGGCTCAGAGGGGTGAAGGAGCCTGTGTCAGGCCTCCACAGCGGGAAGCAGAGCCAGGTTAATCATGCCCTTGCCCCTTTCACTCTGCCCCACTGTCTTCCAGGAGATTCCACTAGTCTGTTCTATCTAGACAGGTGGGTCCAGGATCCGAACAACTGAGACAGTGACATTGACAGTTGGCTCTGAGCTCCAAAGGGAAGCTACCGACTTTGTACTATTTTTGTGTCATCCATGCCCTCAGCTCATGCAGGGACTTGACTTGATCTTTATAACCCCTTGTGATTCCAAAATCATATGAAAGAGTTCTAAAATAGGTAATCCCCCTCCGCCTTCTTTCTCTCCCTTCCTCTCCCTTTCAGAATGTCCAGAGGAGGTGTATGACCCGCGGTCTCTATATGAAAGGCTACAGGAACAGAAAGACAGGAAGCAGCAGGAGTACGAGGAGCAGTTCAAATTCAGTAAGCTTCAGAAAACCGGAGCCCGAGGGTCTCCGCAGGGGCTCTTTGACGCACGTTTACCGCACGCAGTACTTTTTCTAACTAGCCGTGGAATTGCGATTATCGAGTCTCTAAATGCTTGTTTGCTGGGAAAGAGACCAACTCCTGTCTTCTAGATCACATTGAGCATTTTGTTTGGAGCTCAGCATGCCCATTTTCATTCTATGCTAATATCTGGTAATGGGAGAAATGCCTTGGTTTTATGCCATGGTGTTTACAGAACCCTTCCTCTAATCCCCTGAAGGATCTGCCGTTTATTAAAAAAAAAGAGAGGAAAAGGAAAAATCTTATCTGCCTGTGTTTCCCCTTAAGCCTGCTAAATGTTCTTTTAAAATTATTTCCTCAGAAAACATGGTAAGAGGCTTAGAT